GGAATATTGTAGCAGCTTGATCAGAAATACGATAATAAATGTAATCTGTTAATATACTAGCTTTTCTTCTTCGATGGTAATAGTAAAGAAGATCGGGTCGCGGCACCAAATATTAGAGGATTCCGTGTACCTTCTCGATGTTCGTTTATTTCGAGATATCGACGCGAGAACAACAACAGAACAGAATCACGTAAGCGACAAGAGAGAGAGCATATATAGAAGGGATAAGCGTCAAAGAATGAATAAACAGATGCCGATGAGTCAGGAATAAACATATGACTGTAACAATAAGCCTTGACTTTTTTGCTCTATTGTTGAATACCTTACACGAGAAGTCATAAAACGTGTATTAAATCGGCACTTGTTTTTTTCACGAAGTAAAAACGAACTGGGTGGGGGCGTGGATGTGGGGTGCGGGTGTTGGGATGAGTTTTCTATTCATTCATGCCTACACCCACACCCACACCTACACTTACACCGACACCCGCACCCGCACCCACACCCTCAAGCATGCTTGTCTCTATTATTTGTTGTTATTAATTATTTATTACTTCATTTATACCATCGAAAGTTACTGACAAAGAAAAAAAAGCATTCTTTCTGTATTTTACAAAAAGTTTTCGATTGAAAACCATTGCAAATCAAGAAACAAAAAAATAATCGATGAATTGCTTTGAAAGGATTTGGTAACAAGCATTTTAAGGTTCAATATCTTCACGAATGATTCTTTTCGATGTTAAATCAGGATAGCCATCTTTAAATTCCGTTGTTCGTCTATGATCCTTTCGGCGTCGCATAGACCAATCATCTATGGTCCTCTCATGAATCTTCCAAGGTTTTTCGCGGTCTCGGTTTGCACGATCTGGACGTGTCTCATATTCTTCTTGACTATCATTGTTGTCATTACGTCTTTCTCCTGGCTGACGATCCTGATTATGACCGCCATCGCGATTCCGATTACGATAATCGTTGCGATCTCGACTGCGGCGATCGTCATGATCCTGATCACGATGATGATGATGATGATGATGCTTCCCTTGTCTTCGACATTTAGTACGGTGTTTCCACCGCTTGGAGCAAGAGCGATGCTTCTTCCCACGTTTTATTCTTATGTTGCCTTTACGCATTCTCCAATATCCTTTATTTTCATCTTTGGATAGTGAATCGTTGTCATCGTCTTCATCATATTCATGAGCAAATATTCGCTGTTTTTCGTTTACACTACCATGATTATTCTTGCCTGATAATCTATTTCGATGATTCAGTTGCTTTGCATTTCTGTCTGAGATACTTTGACGATCATTGTTGTCTTCTATCTTGTCTATATTATCGTTGATTTCACTTCCTGACACGATCAGAGCTGTGCTTCGTTGCTGTTTATTCTTTTGTTGTGCATCGATCACTACAAAAAAAAATTACGAAATCTATGAAGTATGAGGCATGTAAATCATTGGTGTATCCTCTGAAACAATCGTTCTCGACCTTATTAGCTGATGAAGGAACTCATTAGTTTTAGTTAATTGCATAATCCTTGGAGAATTGAAATGTGAAACTGGATAGGGAGAATCTACTGACGAATAGAATCTTAGACATACCGATCGTTTCTACAACGACTACAGAGGCAAACATAATGAAATGCCTTTCACAGTTCGTGATGGTAAGATGTCTGTCTGTCTGTCAAAGTTTCTCAGAGTAAGTAGCTTGACCCAAATTTCTCACTATGATAACTTAAAATACTAATTTCTAATAATCTTTTGCGAAATTCAAAACTAAGTAAATATTGAAAAGATATCAAAAAACTGAAAACCTATTTCACAAGAAAAAACAAGATATAGCGAATAAATGAAGTTACAATTGGTGCGCAATGTGTACTACTACAGACTCCGTCACTGATCTAACAGACACTAATAGAGAAGCTTCTATTCGATCAGCGGGTGATAGGAGAAGGAGTTCGAGTTTCTAGTTACATATTTCAACGCTTACTTTCAATTGTGTTTTACAAAGTATGGAAACGAATGGAAAATATGCTTTTTATTGTTTCATAGAAATGTTTCCTATATTTTATTGTTACTACTTTGAATCGTACGAAATCAGAAAATAGTGAGAATATAATCGATGCACATTTCTCACCTTGAATGAATATGGATATCCATATGGTAATTAAGAGTAGGAACAAATATGAAGGCAATCGCTTCATCGTTGTTTGAGTTGCAAAAAACGAAAATACGAATGAATACCAAAGATGGTAGATAATCGACGATATTCTTATGTTACCTGCTCCTAATCGTAAAGAATGGTAAATGAAATTCGAGAAGATATATAACTGACCTTTTGTTCGAACTTTATTCGATTAGCATACACAAAAGAAACTTATTACACAAAGATTGTACTTCGGGGGACATTCGATCTTCTTCGACGAAATCAAAATACAGTTTTGATTAATTTACTCTCCTTTCCGTGCTGATCAATGAAAGATATTTGTCGATCAACAAACGTTCTTTCAAAAAGAGTTGAATGCAGGTGGTGTTGGTGTCGGTGCTTGAGTCGAGCGAGAGTCTTATTTTCAATTAGCCATAAATACACCCAGACCAATAGCCACACCATTATAACATGTCCACACCAGCAGGATGAGATGTTCAAGGTGCAAAGCAGTCTAGAAATCGTTTTTCTGTCATGGGATTTGAGTCGAATGCTGCGTTATTACCTCTCATGGGCGTGTTTGTGTGAAGAAAAAGTACGTTGGTCGCTGTCACTTGCTTAACTTGAAGCTTATGATCAAGTTTACATGCTTAGTGTATGAATTTTAATGAAGAAATTTGTTTCTTGAGTCGAAAAAAGGACTTGTTAATCGTACAACATAAAGTAAATGATATTGGAAGTGGTTGAAAAGATCGCGTTTTTTCTCATCTATAAGGAGTTATGATGATCTACAGTGCATAGGGTCTACAAATTCTAAATTTTCGACCTCCTAAACCTATCAACTTCGAAAATCGTTGACGTTTTTGTTGAGATTACGGAAGTTTTATGTAATAAATACGATACTTCATAGCTTCTATCCACATCGATGCCTAAAATTTTAAAACTTTTATAAAGCAATATGGTCGTAGTGTGGTTCCAGAGGAAAATGTTCTGTAATAAATGTTTTGAACAAGTATATCCTCTCTACGAAATCGATAGCATTCATGAGTTTTGATTTCAAGCGCTATCTCAGTGAATCGAATGAGAAAATCAATCACTAATTTATATTATCAACAGACGATAGGAACATTAAAGGTATCAATTTTCTATCTTGTTGGCAGCATCTGCATATTTTTGCTCTCGGCTGAGATAGCTTTTCCTTATCTTCAATATCCATTTAATGTCTGTCTCCATGTTCTTTACATGTCTACTGTTTGTTTTCGCCCATTCGGCCGTTTGCTGTAATTTTTGACGAAGCTCATCATATTTCAGCCTAGTTAGGTGAATGATAATTATTTCTCACGATTATTTTGACAAAACTTTTCCAATAGGAATGACAGTATAGATACAAGTATTCAGAAAAGAGCATAGGCTGCTGCAGATAGATGATCGACTCTGTATTATTACAAGTATACAATCAATACTTCAATAAGACCTCCACAATTGTACATTGATAGAATACAAACTTGAATCTTGCTTTTTAACTGAATAAAGTGCAGCAAACAGAGATTTCTTTTCATAAATCGACGCCGATATTTACTTGATCGCTAATTTTGGCCTCGATTGATTGCAACAGTGCCGTACACAGAATGAATAGACCCATCCTCATAATCTACATCCACATACACTCTGTTAATTCAATGTAAACAGCTCGAGTCAAAAGCATATATCATAAAAACAAGTGGTGACATTTACTATAAGACAAGTGGTAATAGCATTTTCTAAATTGTTTTTTTCTATATCCCTTGTTTTTCCAATGTGAAACTCTGAAACATTAAATGCAATATTTACACACAAGGGTTAGTTAGTAATCTACGGATAGTACCATCTATACAGCATAACTAGCTAGTGAACAAAATAAATGATTTTGAAATGATTAATAAAAAAATTTACATTGTCTTGTTTCATTTTTGAATTGACTACAATTTTTACTAGCTAGCGTCTGTAACGTCCGTTCATATCATTTCAGATATGCATTATAATTTTCATCCAGTAGAGGTTGGCAATGATAATGATGCGTTTTATCATAACTTGTAGACACAAACGTACAGAGTTTCTCGATATTCGATATGAATAGGTGTGATTGAAGCTAGGAACCCAATTCATCCTGACGCCATCCTCTTTTAGTATGCTTTTGTAGAAATCTTGTTCACTAATATGACTGAAGAAAGTCGTGAAATAATTTTTTTTTCTGTTAAAGCGTCGTCGCATCGATAACACGTGCGTTCAGTCAACTCAGGTTGATTATATTACCAAGGAGAACATCGATGAAACATGAAGTTTTTTCGACTTCAAAAATAAATGGTTAGTTGTAGATCGTCGAACTTTTCTACATATTTTATTCAAGTTAGCACGTAGTAAGGAAATAAAAATTGTTTGAATTGAAGCTACGACACATACACGTGCAATAAGTACGCGCATTTTTCGTGTACTAATTCGGCTGGTCATCCTGAATGAAGTCTAGAGAAGATTTGATTATTA